AAACCTTAATAGGGGTAAAATGGGTTTTTATGAGAAAAATGAAGTACTTTATGGGACAAAGAGAAAAAGAAAGAAGAAAGAGTTTACAAGACGAAAAGAGTATTAAAAGAGTCTGGGCGGCTCCAATTTTAAAAAGTTCCTCTGGTGCAATCTCAATTCCAAAACTCTTAGAATTTCCAAAGGAAAATGATTTCCAATGAAAATTATTTTCCAATTATATTTTTTGTTATTTGGTAGAAAGGAAAGTATTTTCTTTAAAAAATCATTTCTTTTATTAATATTTAAAAATATAAATTTCAAACTTACCAATTCGAGATTTTAAATTTTATAACACACAAAAAACACTAAAAAGTTTAAATTAAATATTTAAAAATTTAATATTTATAACTTAAAATTTGAAATTTAAAATTCAAAATTAAAAGTTCAAATGTAGAAATAAAAATTTATTTTTTAAAAAAAAATTAAAGTTAAAATTGAAATCTATATTACAACATATAAAATTTAAAGTTTCAAATTTCAAATATGAATACTAAAATTTAAAATTTTATATTAAATTAAAATTAAAAATATCAAAATTTAGAAGATTAAGACTTAAAATTTAAAATTTAAAATTTAGTACTAACTACGAGTACAATTCCAACATGTAAAATGACACATAAATGAATGATAATGAATTTATTTACTATGAATAAAAATTGTCACACTCACTTTCATAATAAATTTTGTCACGCTCACTCTCCTTTATGCAGTTGAAACAGGATACATCTTAGTATATAAATATAAAAAGTGAATTATGCATCATAACATTAATTGGAGTAATTAAATAAAAACACAATCTTATTAATTAGATTCTTCCAAGATTTATCCTCTCCGTGTTCACAACATTTTCAACTTCAGCATGGATCGCACCCGTGCAAAATAATTGTGTTCCACTCAAAATTATTAGAATTATCTCCAATGTCCTCTGCAAACATTCCATATAGTAAAAAAGTGGTTGTTAAGAAATTATACTCCGTATTAGATATTGGTACAAAAATTATGCTAGCTATTATATTTGATTTATATTTTATTTTAAAATATTGTTTTATCTAACTAATATACTTTATAAATTTTATTTAATTATAGATCAAAAATAAAAATATTATTAACTATAAAAAATCAAAACTAGACACTTTTGGTACTCCGCAAATTAATGAAGATTGAGAGGGATGTCAAGGCAAGTAGAGCTTACCAAATTTGAATCAGTCCACCCTAAGCTTATTTCTTTACAAGCGACTCTGCGAAAGTAGGATCATTATATTAAAGGCGGCTTGACAAATACGGAGTATAAGAGATAAAAAATGACTCATTCATAAGAAGATAAATTGACTCATAATCACAGACATCCAGACATGTTGGCAATGGATGAAGCCGACAGTGGATGTTTCTGGAGGCTCTATGCTTAGCATAGTTGCATTTTATCGCAGTTGTCAGGATTCAAACTCGAGTTTACCTCTTTTGGCACACTTTGCTGAGTCACGCCCAAATTAATTGCATTATCATATTTTTTCCCTCCCAAATTAATCGTCTCACTTTTCATTTTAGTCCATTCCAAATTATTTTTCTCATTTTTTATTTTAGTCCGTCTTAAAATAAATGTCTCACATTTTTCCTAATAAGGTAACAAATATGTAGTCCACAATCATTTATTTTCCTCTATTCAAATTTCAACTACTCATTTAAAAAAATATCAACATTTTTCTTAAACTCGATGAAGTTAAATAGGACGGATGGAGTATTTGATTAGCAGACTCTATTGGCTTATTTGATTAGAAGTAAAAAATGTAAAAATACATTTGACAATTTATTGAAAAAAATGCTAACCCTAAAATATTGTTTTAAAAAAATGAGAATTCTATCAAGGAAGCATATTGGCAATTCAAAATGCCAAATTACTCAAAAACAAATTTAGGTGACTAGTCAAAAATGCACTTTTAGGTCAAAATGGTGAAAAAATACACATTTTCACTAGTAAAAAATATAAGGGTTTTTCTTCCATGCCTTCATATTTGAAGGGACATGGATGCCCCTCCACTAAATTAATGACAGGGGACTCGAGTCATGATTAGGAAATAATGGAGAGAAAATATTTTTTCTGAAAACTAATTTCAATCATTTTTTTTTGAAAAATATTTTCAATATTTGAGAGAAGATATTTTCTTAGAAAAATATTTTTTTAGTGCTTATGTTACCAAACATCAAAAATTAATACTTTCTAATGAAACACTTTTCTCCAAACATACAGACTTAGATTATGTCTAAATGTCATTACCTGGATTATATCTAATTGTCAGTGGGAGGGCATTCATGCCCCTTCGAATGTAAAGGCACAGGAGAAAAACCCAAATTAAATATAATGCACTTTTAGCCGTTTTAGGTGGAAATTAAATAGAGAGAAATTAAAGTAGCAGGTATAGTATCAAGGAACCAACCCAACCACAAGCTCAAGCTTGTGGTTGTGGCCCAGGAATAGTTATTTATATTCTAACACGCCCCCCTCACGTGCAGGCGTAGTCTTTTTTGAGCCTTGCACGTGAAACCTTAATTTTTTTTAAAACTGGGTGGCGCTAAGTTTCGAACCCGTGACCTCTTAGTCAACGAGGCTCTGATACCATATCAAGGAACCAACCCAACCACAAGCTCAAGCTTGTGGTTGTGGCCCAGGAATAGTTATTTATATTCTAACATATAGTAGGAATAAGGTACTATACAATTATACCCCATAGCAAGGAGGGTGAGAAGCCAAGAAACAAGGGAAGACGCAGCAGCAGAATGGAGGTTGGATACATTCCAACGAGCCTCGGTTAGATTGAGAAACGCGGCGGCGGAGGTTATGAAGCCCACCACGCCAGCTATGAGTGAATATATGACCACAAACCCTGTCGCCATGTTCCCAAATGGGAAATAGATTGGGAATATTTTTGCTGGCATTGACATTACTGATGCTGCACATATATCCATGCCACATACGCAATTATATATGATAATTCGAAACACTAAAATAAAAGTAAAGAGGAATTTACCTAGGACTAAAACATAATGACTTTCTCAATATAGGACCATATGTTTTTATATCCCAATATTGGACCTTTGGTCATTGTTTATTAGTCATTATTCAACTAAATGTCCAGCATCACTTAGACATTATTCTTCTCACTAGTCATTATTAAGTCCTATTTAAGAAATAAAAAAGTTTAAATCCTACATTGGAAAATGACTTATGTTTTAGTCCTATTCACTATAAATTTCACAAAAGTAAAATGTATATTTATGAACTAAAATACGGAGTAATATTTTTATGTTTTTATTCCAAAATATGATCTATACTAATGCTAACATGTACTCACTCCATCCCAAAAAGATTGTCACTGTTTGATATTTTTGGTCAAATTACGGCACCCTTTGACCGCAAATTATGAAAAAGTATATTTAATTATAATGCAAATTTAATAAAATTGGATTTTTTTTAAAACTATACTCCGTAGTTTTTTAAATATCAAATGTTTATAATATTTAATTATTTTAAACTATATTTAATTTGTGGTCAAAAGATGCTACAATTTGACCAAAAAAGTCAAACTGTGATAATCTTTTTGAGACGGAGGGAGTATAATACCAAAGAAAACATCGAAATACCAATATACAATGTCACCTTATCAAAGTGCAATAGTCACATATTTGAATAAAAAATTTTACTCATATTTTGGGAATAAGTACTATGTTTACTCCTTTCATCCGTCCCAAAAAGATGACTCATTTTGACTTTTAAAAAATTTAAAGGATGGGTGTTTCTCTATTAACTTTCCACAAAATTTGTATGATGTGATGTGTACAATTTTATATTTGTATATATATAACAAATAGGTTCTGATTGCCATTTTTTTATCACTTTTTATTGTCATTTATTTATTAAGTAATATATAGGTTAAGAATTAATAGTGGCAAAAATAGTTTTTTAATAGAAATAAAAAGAATTTTTCAATAGAAATAAAAAGAATTTTTTAATAGAAATAAAAAAAGAAATTAAAGAGGAAGAAGTTTTTGAGACGGATGACGTATACTCTACCACTATTTTAAAAAAAATAAGTAATTAAAATACCTGTGCGGTAGGATCTGGCAATCCCATGGTTAACAGCCCAGGAAGCAATTACGATAACAATGAAATACAGTATGGCGTTGGCGATCAAAAGAACACTTGAAGCAGTTTTGGTTGAAGCCATGGCCGCCCCCCCCAAATATATATATTTAATTCAGTTTATATATTCAATAAATTCGATCGGACAATGGGAAATACAATTTACTTCAATGTTAGTTTCAAACACATACAGCACGTACACATTAATTGTTATTGAGGTTTTAATGTGAATGAAGAGATCGGCAAGGCACGTAATATAAGGTACGTAGGTAGCTAGGGGCTAGGGAGTATATATATTCTTTGCATGCATGCACAGAAAGCATATATGCCTTGGGCTTGTTTCTAGTCCATATATACTTTACTTTTTCTGGTCGGATCTTTATCTTTGATTGTATTCCAAGCAATGTTTGGATGAAAGAATATAATTAACCAATCACCAAGATTTATATGTAAAGCTATCCTCTCTTTTTTTTTTTTGTTACTAGAGTCCGTTTGTGCCCGGGATAAATTTGCAAGCTTGAATTTTCCCTAGTGATGATGTAGGGATAGAATTTCTAACCGACCCATTGGATACATTGTAGGTGGCATGGGGCCTGAGAAGGTATATGTTACAACCGGATGTACGGTACATCCAAGTAATACTCATTCTAGAATAGTACTCATTTTCGCACAAATATAATTACTTAGCGTGGTACTCATTTTAAAATAATGCAGTATTCATTTTTACACATTAGTTCAATATAATTATAATATTCATCTACAAATAATATAATGTTCATTCTAAAACAAAACAATGTTCATTCTCAAATAACTTAGTACTCATTCTCAAATAACTTAGTGTTCATTCTCATGTAAAATAAAATCCATATCATAAATCACTACTAGAATATGTTGATTTAGTGTGGGGCAAAAACCCTCACAAAAAGGTAAAAGCCGTCACAAAAGGAAGCTTCGCGTCGAACTTGCGTCGGAATCGAGGCCGTGGCTAATCTGCTCGAAGCTAATTCCTAGTGTCTGTCAAACCCTTCCTAGTTTGCGTCAGCCTGCTCCTCACACATTTTTTTCACAGGAACATCTTTGTGTTTGCCCATGCCCTGGTTCCTAGGTTGAAATCGAGACTTATTACAAAGTTTGCATGCTTTAAGATTATTATCTTCCTTGTAGAACGGCATGCAATCGTCCTCACAACAATCAATTGTCTCCACCTTTAACCCTAATTTTGAAGCTAGCCTTGTTGCTTCATAACAATTTTTGGGTATTTTCTCTTTTGAAGGTGAAACTTCTACTAGCATTTGAGCAAAGTAATCTACACATCTTTGGGGAATATGCCAATTAGACCTGGCCGCTAATAGTTTCATAGAAATTGACAAAGGTGTTTCAGAACACCCTTCATAAATTGGTTGGTTCGCAGATGCCAACATGTCATAAAACTTTTGATATTCTGAGTTTGGCAATTCTTCTATAGTTGCAATCCCATTATTTTCTTCTGTGACTCCATCATGTACTTGTCTAAATCTATCTTTTAGCATATGATCAATCATTTCAATTTAATTTCCCTCATCCCAATCTTCTGGAGCAATACATTCATCTCTTGAGTGTAAATCGGGCTTTTCTTCACCGTGTTCTGTCCAAATGTAGTACTCGGCTTTGAACCCATGCTTGTACAAATGAAGTCTCACTTCACTTTCCTTTAGTATTTTCATGCATTTACATTTCATGCATGGACATCTAATCCCCCCCATCAGATAAAGAAGAAGGAAGTTCTTTTGCCTTCCTAACAAAGTCTTGAACTCCATTAATAAATTCAATTTTTAGTCCACATCTATGTGAAGACAGTCTATCATACATCCAAGTTCGGTCCATGCTCTAGACAGAAAAATAGTGATATTATGAAGTGATAAAATTTGACAATCAATGGATTTATATCTAGGAGAAAAATATTTGACTCAACTCAAAACATATCGATTAAACAAGAAAACTTAATATATTGCCTTAGTTTTGGACTTTTGGTTATTTAATTTAGCCAAATGCTATTTCGAGATCATGTTTGACACCACCCAATCATAATGTCACTGCACTCAAAACATAACAATAAAATGATGTTTTTTTCAATAAAATGATGTTATTATTATTTGTTATACAAATTTTAATTTCTTTTTTTCAAAATAAACACAAAAAATATATTAATGAACACAAAACAAAGTGAATCACAATTTAAATAATTGTAACAATCTTCCAGCATTATTAAAAAAATCTTCTAGCATAGAAAAAACAAAAATGCAAATAAAAGATTACCCAATGTATATATAAAAATCAACAAAACATTAAGGAGTACGTAGTAACATTTAAACACTTAAAAGATAGTGTTTTAAACATAAAAAAACACCTTGATTGGTAGGGGAAAGAACTTCGAAAATTGAGACCTAAAGGATTGATGTGCCGTAAATTGGACTAAAGGAGTTTAATTTTTTAAAAATCCCTAGTTAAAAAGACTTACACTATGTTTGGCTCAAGGATTTTGGAAGGAAAAGAAAAGAAAATGGTTTCTCTCATTTTCCTCACCAAAATGGAAGGAATTTGGTTTTCCCTCCACTTGGTACATTTTGCCTCCTCATTTTCTTTTCCTTCCACTTTTCTTTTCTTTTCTCCTCTAACCAAACAAAAAAAATGGTTTTCCACTTCATTTTTTTTCTTTTCCCTTTCAAATTCCTTGAACCAAACATAGTGTTAAGGATCCAGAGCGACACTGCCCTTTTGTTTTAATTCTCCAGAGAAAGTTTTATTTTTATTTTAAACAACCCCGTTTTGAGTTTTAAAACCTCCGCTCCGGCCTGACTGCACTCCCACCATATCACTCCAACTCATAGAATTCCATATGTATGTACTCAAATGTAGTTCAAAACAATCACAAGCCACTAAAAACAAATCACAGCCCACTCAAATGTAGTTCAAAACTTACTCGTAAATTTTTTCCGACTTTGCATTTGTTTATTTACGGATAAGCTTTTAAGTAGACCTGCAGAATTATTTTCAATTTGAATACAACAATGTCAAAGAATACCTATTTGTTTAATGGCTTCTCAAAAAAAGTTAAAAAAAAATCAACTGTAATGTGAAAAAAAGAACAGAGTATAAAGATAAAAAACAGAAAAAAAGGCTTCAAGTATGAAGTATAGAACCTATTTGTTTAATGGCTTCAAAAAACAGAACACTTGATGAACCAAAGAACAGAGCATAAAACCCAAAAAAAGGCTTCAAAAACAGAACACTTGGTGAACCAAAGAACAGAATACCTATTTGTTTAATGGCTTCAAGAACAGAATACGTATTTGTTTAATGGCTTCAAAAAACAGAACACTTGCTGAACCAAAGAACAGAGCATAAAACCAAAAAAAATCAGTTCAAGTATAAACCAGTTCACGCATAAAGAACAGCAAAAAAAATCAGTTCATCAAACACTTGGTGAACCAAAACAAAACCAGAAAAAAGGACTCAAGTATAAACCAGTTCAAAAAACAGAACAGAGTATAAAGATATTAAAAAAACGCAAAAGTATATTGTTGTCTCACCTTCTTGTTAAGTGTGGCATTTCATCAAACACTTGGTGGGCATAACTTCAAACTAAAATATTTCTTAGTATCAATTTATGTAATCACCAAGAGGTAATTCAAAGTAGCAAGAGTCAACAAAGAACACAGATTTCTTACACTTCAATATGAAATCATATAAATACACTTCAAAAATTAGAGATGTCATTTAACCTAATTGATAAACTGAAAAAGAATGGTATGTAGAACCTGGTTATCTCGCTAAAATCGTCGCCGCGCTGGACAGTACTCTTGTGGTCTCCGATCCACTGTGCGGAGAACCTTGTTGTCTGCAAAGCTTCAATTGCCGCACAGGAACTTAGGCCGGTTAGCAGTAACTTCCTTTGGTTTTTTTAATCGAAGGATAGTAATTTAACATTTCATTTTTTAAATTCATGCATTTTAATTCCAAAATTTAAAATCTAAAATTTCAAATGACAAGGGAAGGTGCATGGATTTTAAATTAAGCTTTGTTATGAATGAGAAGAATTTGACCCAAATCCAAATTCAAAATTTTTAAATTTCCCAAACATGAAATTTGAGTCAAATCTAGATTTGAAATCCAAATTCATGTTACCAAACATATCATAAGAGTCCAGCCAAGAAGAATTGGAATAGCAACAGGCCAGCCCTTTTTGTTAAGGCGGGCAAATGTGCAGAAAAATCAAGTAGGCGTGGTTTTAAAAATGAGAAATGCTAGATTCACAAACAAAAATGTCACAAACTTCACAAACTTGCTATTTATGAACTTCAATAAAAAAATTTAAATAGTCTAAAGTAATTTTAAAATGAAAATTTAAACCATAAATGGTAAGTTTGTGAAGTTTGTGATCATTCTGTTTATGAACGTAGCATTGTTCTTTAAAAATTTAGAATTGTGACGGCCCAACCGACAAAAATGAAAGTTTAAAAATTAAGAATTACTAGGCTCGCATAAGCCCGCTTATACTATGTTTGGTTCAAGAAAATTTGAAAGAAAAGAAAAGAAATTGAATTTCTCTCATTTTCCTCGCCAAAACAGGAGGATTTTTATTCTACTTTCCCTTACACAATGTTTGGTTCAAGGATTTTGGAAGGAAAAGAAAAGAAAATGGCTTTCTCCCATTTTCCTCACCAAAATGGAAGAAATTTGATTTTCTCTCCACTTGGTACATTTTGCCTCCTCATTTTCTTTTCCTTCCACTTTTTCCTTTCTTTTCCCTTCTAACCAAATAAGAAAAATGACTTTCCACTTCATTTTCTTTTTTTTTCCCTTTCAAATTCCTTGAACCAAACATAGTGTTAAAGTTTTGTTGGCGAAGCCGTCACTAGTACATTATTAGTTGAGAAATTTACCTAAATAAGACTAAAACATAATGACTTTCCCAATATAGGACCATATATTTTTATTTCCCAATGTAGGACCTTTGGTCATTATGAAGTAGTCATTATTTAAGTAAATGTCCATCATTACTAGACATTATTCCTCCCACGAGGTCATTATTAAGTCCTATTTAGGGAATAAAAAAGTTTAAGTCCTACATTAAGAAAGTCATTATGTTTTAGTCCTATTTAGTGCAAATTATATTTACAGCTGTTGAATAAATTCTTCACAATTATATTTTTAAAAATTATAAAAAAAAGTACAAAAATATTTACACATTTTATCGTTGCTTAACCCGACATAATAATATATAAATTGTTTGTGATGGGTAAACGACACAACATTTCGAGGGTTACGGGCTTCTCACTAAAATTGACAACTAATTCAACTTATTCTAGTAGTGAATAATTTCTTGGTTGTACCCAAAATTGGGTACAACCGGATGTATAATATAATTTGCCGAATGCTGGGTGAGGGCAAGGGGATTTAGGGAAGTAGCAACCATCAATTTTTCGAACGAAGCACTGTAGGTTATTGTTGTCATAATATGACAACAATGGTTGTTATAATTTATTATTATTATTGTTGAATATGATTTTCACTCAAGGAATAATTGGGTACAAGGTGGTTTATATAAGAGGAGATCCCAATATCAACTAGGAATCTTCTAATGCTAAAAAATATTACTCCTACCATAATTACAAATAATTTCATAACTGTCTAACATACCCCCTCAAGCTTAATGCCGTGAAACGAGAAGAAGCTTGGAAACCAAAGCTGAATGTTGCGGTGATGACAGTGCTTTTGTTAAAAGATCCGCAAGCTGCTCAGTGGAGGAAACATATAAACTGCAATTATCTGTTCCCGGACAAAGTGGCAATCTATACCCACATGTTTCATTCGCTTGTGGAAAACTGGATGCTTGGTTAAACAGATAGCTGACTGATTATCACATATCACAAAAAAGATGTGGAGGGGAAGCTTGATTTTTAAAATATCAAATAAGTAGGAGAGCCACATCACTTCCGCCGCTGCCGCTAAGAGAGCTCGTTATTCGGCCTCTATCGAAGATCTCGACATGCGACTCTGTTTCTCCGTACTCTAAGAAATCAGATTAGGGCCAAAATATATCAAGTAACTTGTAATGGGCCAAAATATATCATGTACTTTAGACTAGGTTTAGAGTGGTTTGGTGAGTTTAGATACTGAAAGGAGTGAAGAAACGAAGATTGACGGGGAGGACTGTAGGTGGGAATACCTATCGTCCAATTGTTATTAATAATGCATGAAAAGAGTACATGGAGTTATTACACAATACTTTTTTAGAGAGATGAAATTCGGATCCCATCTACTGGGGGTTACAAGCCTATCAAGGAAAAATTATGCTTCAACCTTTATAAAAAAGGAAATATTATCTAAATTAATCCAGCCTTTTCATGCTTTTAAAAAAATAATCATATTTTTCAGTGTCACTGGAAATAATCTCACCTTTCTGCATGCATGCGAGTTTTGGGTTGTCGTTAAAAAATTAACGGTCACTTAACGGAAATTTTGAAAAATGCATGTTTTTTACAAATAAATGAAAGGTGGGATTATTTTAGGTAAATTTTCTTTTTTTCTTTTTTTTTTTTTAATTTCTAACTTAAATTTAAAAGTATTTTTCAGTTATTTTTTTAAAAATAATAAAATATTTAAGTGTTTTTAGAGTGAAACTAATAAAAACAAAATAGTAATTCAAAAGTTGTGAAAATGGCACAATATTTGTTTTCTCCAAAACGGCCCTAATAAATTTTTATTACTCACTACAATTTTTTTGTATTGCATTTTCTTTTCTCGATTGATACTCTGAATTATTCTTTATAATTCAATATTATATTTTCCCATAACAAAAAACAAAATTTGTAAATCGTTAGACAATCTCTAACAAAAGTGTACTATTACATATTTAAAAATATTAATTTTAAATTTAAACTTAAAAAAATAAAAAGTAAATTCGCATAAAATAATCTCACCTTTAACTTATTTCCGAAAACATGCATTTTCTTAAAAATTTCGTTAAGTGGCCGTTAGTTTTTTAACGACGACCCAAAATTCGCACACATACGGGAATGTGAGATTATTTTTGGTGATAGTAAAAGTGAGATTATTTTTGAAAAAACGTGAAAAAGTGAGATTATTTGAGATAATTTTTTCTTATAAAAAAATACTACCTATGTCCCTAAATATGTCTCACATTTCAATTACTGAGGTAAAATATCAAATTTTTTCAATTCATTTTATTTACATATTGTTATAGAAATAAAAAATAAAATTTACATATCAAAAACTACATAGATAGTTCTTCGAAATAAGAAATGTCAAGAATATTTTATTTTATCAAATAACCAATGAAAACGTAGAATTAAACAAAAGTTTCTGAGACTGCTGAAAAAACAAATGTTAGATATATTTAAGGACGGAAGGAAGGAGTAAAAGTCTTTATGCATTTTTTTTTTCAAAAACTAAAATTAAAAATAAAATAAGAAAACCCCTAGCCAACACTACCAGTCTGTCATCCATAGCTCAGCTTGGCAGGTTTTCACCGCCACGGAACCCCGAGGCCCTAACCGTAAGAAAACTGTCTCTCAACACTACGCAGAAACTCACAAGTTCTTCATGTTTCCGTCAAGAAGAAGGAGAATCATTTGTTCGCGTTTGCTGCTTTGATATAGGAAACAAAGAATTTTCAATTTTTCGCTAAATGGGTTTCCGATCTTTAACATTTACGTAGTATTTCATTTGATTCTCGGATTTCACTTTTAGTTCTTAAACTGCGTTGCCGAGATCGAAAATCTGGCAAATTTAGGGGAAGGGGTGAATTTGAGGCCGCGGTTGTGTTCTAAACAAGCCATTCGAGAGGCCCAAGAGGACGAAGAGGAGTGCAGGCCTTTGCGCAAGAGGCTCTCGATGGCTTTCAGTAGGGTCTCCCTTTTCAAAATCACCCTTCTCCTACTACTCATTGCGGCCATTACCACAGCTTGCCTCACTCTTCCCGTTGAAAAGGTCATGATTGAATTTCATGTTTTGGTGTTTTCTTAGATTTTCAGTGTTATCGTATCGGTTTATTGATTGTTGTTGAGTGATCAGGGATTTTTTTAATGTGCTTAATAGTTAATTTGGATCTCCTTTGTTCTGCTAAAGGCTTTTTTTTTGTATACAATTCGGTGTGGGTTGTTGATTGGGCTCATTGTTTTATTCTGAGTGAGCTTATACAGTTATACTATTGGATTAAGATTATCTTGATTGTTTATGCATATAAAAAATACCTCACTCCGTTGGGCGTTTGGTGCCTCTTTCCATTTTCACCAAATTCTCCTAGTAACCTGAATTTTCCATCATCTCCGATGGAGTCAATATTTCACCATTTTTGGCTTTGGGGTGTGATGGAATAATAGTTTTACCTAGAGATTTGATAGACGCGAAGAAATTAATTACTTCATCGTCAATCAGTTTGTGACGTTGAAAGCTACAACTCGGCCCCCAGAGAAACCTTTGTCGGAGAGATGAAAGCTCATCCCCGTTCCAGACGCATGTGTGTGGGAGGGGTCTGGGTACTCTTGTGGGATTTAACTGGGTTGTTGTTGTTGTTGTCTCCTAGTAACCTGAAATTCTATCAAATATGTTTAACTAAACTTGGAGAAGATAACCTCCTAGAGAAGCAATTCCTAAACTTTAGCTAATGAGGACTACCAAAAAGAAAACTTTTACTAATTACGAGTAGTTGATTGTGGAATTGGATTGTAAGTTTTAACCATATGTTACGGCTTGTATGCCTGGTTCCTTTCCTTTTTGTTTCTGGGCTTTGGACCATTTTCATCAAATAATGACTTGTGGGAGTGGCTTTGTAACTTGGAGA